CCTCCTGAGTAGCTGGGATTACAGGCGTGTGCCACCTCACCCAGCTAATTTTTGTAATTTTAGTAGAGACGGGGTTTCAACATCTTGGCCAGGCTGGTCTTGAACTCCTGATCTTATGATCCATGTGCCTCGGCCTCTCAAAGTGCTGGGATTACAGGCGTGAGCCACTGTGCCCAGCCTCATCCATTGTTATCTCATTTGAATCCTGTGATAGCTCTGTGAAAAGATCAGGGCAGAAATTGTTCTCGACATTTTCCAGATAAGGAGATTGAAACTCAGAGTGATGAAGTGACTGTGATTAATTCAGCACACATTTACTGAGTGCTTGCTATATGCTAGGATTCATGCTGGAAGCCAGACATATAGGAATGAAGTCCATTAAGCCCCAGATGCTCAGTCCAACAGTGCTGAAATGATACAAGGGCCGTTCCAGTGTTCTGGAAGCATAGGAGCAGGAATACCTGCCTCTGCCATGCACAGGGAAGCTGGCACTTGACCTTGGCTTCTGAGGATGAGTAGGAGTTTGTTGGGAGGAAAAGAGAAGTCTAGGCAGAAGGAATACATATATAAAGGAACAAAGGCAAGAAATAATGTGGCTTATTTGGCATAAAGTGTTTAATTGGATCTAGGGGAAGCACAGGTTGGTGAAGAGAAAAGGGGCATGGGAAGATAAAACTTAGAGCGTTGGCTCTTTGGTTAGTTGGTTATTTGTCAAGTTGAACAGTTTGGACTTGATCTTTAGAGCTGTGGAAAGCCATAAAAGTTTCTATTTTTTATTTTATTCATTTAATTTTTTAGAGATGAGATGTTGCTCTTCTGCCAAGGCTGGCATTCAGTGGCATGATCATGGCTCCCTGCAGCGTTGAACTCCTGGGCTCAAGTGATCCTCCTACCTCAGCCTCCTGAGTCATAAAAGTTTTTAAAGCAAGAGAGTGATAGCCTTATACTGGGTCTTTACTGGAATGTGCATGTGTTTGCTGTTCTTGGCCTTTTTTTTTTTTTTTTTTCCTCCAAAATAGCTCAGGAGCTGCTTCCTCCAGGAGCTTCTCCTTGATCATCAGGCTTCCAGGCTGAGTGGGATGCTTCCCATAGACTTTCTCAACCAGGACTCCTCTGTCTTATCACTTATCTACTGCTTTGTTACTCTGTGTTTACCCACGTTTTATTCTAGTCTGTGTCCACCCAGAGGTCATGTACTGTGTCTGACTCATAAGCCCCATGCCCAGCACAGGGCTTGCCCCAGATCAATGTGCTCAGTAAATATTTGCTGAAAGAATGAATGGGAGGAGCTGGGTTCTACCCCAGTGCTGAGACAACATTTGGGGCAGGTGAGTGATGGGGGATTCTGAGTAGTGTGGATTTCCTCAGTGATGCTGGGATAAGGAGTGAGTGTGTGAATGGTGGGGTGACCATTAGAAGGTTGGTGACTCAAGATGACTCTGGAGGTCTGTTCCTGAGTGACCCTAGGTCTCTTTTGCAGATGGCTTCAGTGACGGATGGTAAAACTGGAGTCAAAGATGCCTCTGACCAGAATTTTGACTACATGTTTAAGCTGCTTATCATTGGCAACAGCAGTGTTGGCAAGACCTCCTTCCTCTTCCGCTACGCCGATGACACATTCACCCCAGCCTTCGTTAGCACTGTAGGCATTGACTTCAAGGTGAAGACAGTCTACCGTCATGAGAAGCGAGTGAAACTACAGATCTGGGTGAGTCCCAGGAATCTTGGGGAGGATTTTCCTGAGAGGGGGCTGGTCTGTCAGTACAAGGGCTGGGAGGTAGGGCCAGCTTGGAACTTCTGGGCCTTATAGCATCAGGCATTAATGCTCTTTCAGGTGTGGCCCCTGGGTCACCTTCTGCTAGCTTTATACAAGTTTGCTCTCTTTCATGGGTTCAGATGCTTCTGCTGTTTAATTTTTCGAGAGGTTTTATGTTGGCTTGTCTAATATGAGTGACTAAGAAACTGGGATTTGGAGTTAGAGACTTGGGTTCAAATTCTGCTTCTTCCACTAAGTAGCCATGGAACTTGACTGAATTGCTTAACTTCTCTGGGCCACCCTTTCTTTTTTGGGGATTGTAATAGCATCTACATCATAAGGCTGTTGGGTCATTAGATCCTTGGCTTAGTTCCTAGAACATAGTAAATGCACAATAAATGTTAGCTACAGTATTGGTTATCTATTCTTGTATAACAAATGTGAGACCTCATTTCTACAAAAAATAAAACAAATTAGCTGGGCATGGTGATGTGCACCTGTAGACCCAGTTACTTGGGAGGCTGAAGTGGAAGGATTGCTTGAGTCCAGGAGATTAAGGCTGCAATGAGCCATGATCATGCCACTGCACTCCAGTCTGGACAATGGAATGAGATTTCATCTCAAATAAAAAATAAATAAGTTGGTAGTGTTAAACAACAATAATAATTCATTATCTCATAGTTTCTATGGATCAAACATTTGGGAGTGGCTTGGGGCCTCTCATGAGGTGTAGCCAGATGTTGGCTTGGGTTGCAATCATCTGAAACATAGACTGGGGCTGAGGATCTTTTTTTTTTTTTACAGTCTTGCTCTGTCCCCCAGGCTGGAGTGCAGTGGTGTGGTCTTAGCTCACTGCAACCTCTGCCTCCAGGGTTCAAGCGATTCTTCTGCCTCAGCCTCCTGAGTAGCTGGGACTACAGGTGCTCACCACCATGCCTGGCTAATTTTTGTATTTTTAGTAGAGACAGAGTTTCACCATATTGGCCAGGCTGGTCTTGAACTCCTGACCACGTGATCCACCTACATCAGCCTCCCAAAGTGGTGGGATTACAGGCGTGAGCCACCATGCCCAGCCTGGGGCTAGAGGATCTTAAGGCTGCACACTCACATGTCTGGTGATGGCTATTGGCAGGAGGCCTTACTTCTTTTCCATTTGGCCTCTTAGAGTGTCTTCACAGAGCTGCTTAAGTGTCTTTATTTGCATGGCACCTGGCTTTTCCCAGAGTTAGAGACATAAAAGGCCAGAGGAAGTGGCAATGTCTCTTATGAGTTAGCCTTAGCCTTAAAGCATTCTGTTGGTCACTGATTCAGTGTGGGAGGAAACTACACAAAAATGTGAATATTGGGAGGAAATATTGGGGACCATCTTGGAAGCTGGCTGCCACAGCTACTACTATTATTACTATCTACCAATAGTACTAATTAATTATGTACATATTTTAGATGATATAGCAACATATAAATCATATTTTTTTCAAAAATGAATTAGTACCTGGATTGGAAATCTTGAAAATTTGTGATTTAAAGTATTCAAAACATGTATTTTTATTATTATTTTATTTTTTTTCAAGACAGAGTCTCACTCTGAGCTGGAGTGCAGTGGCACTATCTTGGCTCACTGCAACTTCTGCCTTTCGGGTCCAATTGATTCTCCTGCCTCAGCCCCCCGAGTAGCTATAATTATAGGTATGTGCCACCATGCCTGGCTAATTTTTATATTTTTAGTAGAGACAGGGTTTCACTATGTTGGCCAGGCTGGTCTTGAACTTCTGACCTCAGGCGATCCACTTGTATTGGTCTCCCATAGTGCTGGTATTACAGGCGTGAGCTACCATGCCCAGCCAGAACATGTATTATTTGTTATCGTTCTATTCTATGTGTTAAATGTACATTAATACATCATGTATATATCTTATTGTATATAGTATGCAGTCTGTATATAGTACTTTTCTTTTTATAAATTATTTCCCATATATTATCTCACAATTAACACTATGAGGTAGGTACTACTTTAATACAATCCTATTTTGCAGAATAAGAAACTCAGAGATTAATTAACTTGCCTTAGGTCAACAACACTGCTATAAAGTGGGATTTCAACAAGCTCTTCTGATTCTAAAGTATGTGCTCTTTTCTGTACACTGTCCATCTGAGGTCTTAGTCCATATTTCCCTTCATGTTAATGTCAAATATTAATTTATATAGAGATAAAAGTTCATTTTGTTCATTTGCTCTCTATTAAAGGCATTGAGGAATCAGAGATCATTAGAACTAGAAGCTACATGGGTTGTCTAGTTCACTGATTCCCAAAGTGTGGTTTCCAGAACCATGGCATCAGCATCACCTTGGAATTTGTTAGAAATGCACATTCTTGCCGGGCACGGTGGCCTGTGCTTGTATTCCCAACTACTGGGGAGGCTGAAGTGGGAGGATTGCTTGAGCCCAGGAGTTCTGGGCCGTAGTGCACTATGCCGATCGGGTGTTTGCACTAAGTTCGGCATCAATATGGTGACCTCCCGGGAGTGGGGGACCACCAGGTTGCCTAAGGAGAGGTGAACCCATCCAGGTTGGAAATGGAGCAGGTCAAAACTCCCTTGCTGATCGGTAGTGGGATCACGCCTGTGAACAGCCACTGCACTCCAGCCTGGGCAACATAGTGAGACCCTGTCTCTAAAAAAAAAAAAAAAAAAAAAAAACCCTCCTAAAAAAAAAAAAAAAAAAAAAAAAAAAGGAAATGCACATTCTCAGGCCCATCTCAGAACTATTGAATCAGAAACTGTGGTGGGTAAGTGACAACAATCTGTGGTATAACAAGTTTTCCAGTTGGTTTTGTGGCAGGCTAACATTGTAGAACTACTTAGCTTAACTAGCTTGAGGTAAAAGTCGACAAGCATTTACTTAAAGCACCTAGGTGCTTTCACTCGTGTTATCTGACATCATCCTTGCAGTTTGTGCACAGGAGCACGTGAGAGCACAGAATATTTGGGGCATGGTGAGCAATTCAGTGAAACCGGATCAAGGTTGTGAAAGAGCAGGGGTGCTAAGAGAGAAATTTGCTAGAGAGGCTGTAGGCAGCAGATTGGGGGTCAAAGAGACCTTCCAGGGCAAACAGAAAGTTCTTGTCATCAGCCAGATGATTCATGCTTGATGAGTCCTTAGGAAGATGAAGAAATTATTATTATTATTTTATATATGTATATATAAATATATATACACATGTATTATTGTACTTTAGGTTCTGGGGTACATGTGCAGAACATACAGGATTGTTGCATAGGTACATACATGGCAATGTGGTTTGCTGCCTCCCCACATCACCTATATCTGGCATCTCTCATCATGTTGTCCCTCCCCAACCTCCCTATCCCCCCGCTGTCCCTCCCGTATTCCCCCCCAACAGACCTCAGTGTGTGGTGTCCCCTCCCTGTGTCCATGTGTTCATATTGTTCAACCCCTGCCTATGAGCGAGAATATGTGGTGTTTGATTTTCTGTTCTTGTGTCAGTTCGCTGAGAATGATGGTTTCCAGATTCATTCATGTCCCTACAAAGGACACAAACTCATTGTTTTTTATGGCTGCATAGCATTCCATGGTATATGTGCCACATTTTTCTTGTCCAGTCTATCATAGATGGGCATTTGGGTTGGTTCCAGGTCTTTGCTATTGTGAACAGTGCCGCAATGAACATACGTGTGCATGTGTCTTTATAATAGAATGATTTATAATCCTTTGGATATATACCCAGTAATGGGATTCCTGGGTCAAATGGAATTTCTATTTCTAGGTCCTTGAGGAATCACCACACTGTATTCCACAGTGGTTGAACTAATTTACACTCCGATTAACAGTGTAAAAGTGTTCCTATTTCTCCACATCCTCTCCAGCATCTGTTGTCTCCAGATTTTTTAATGATCACCATTCTAACTGGTGTGAGATGGTATCTCAATGTAGTTTTGATTTGCATTTCTCTAATGACCAATGAAGATGAGCATTTTTTCATATGTTTGTTGGCCTCATAAATGTCTTCTTTTGAAAAGTGTGTGTTCACATCCCTCGTCCACTTTTGAATTTTTTTTTTTTTTTCTTGTAAATCTGCTTTAGTTCTTTGTAGATTCCGGATATTAGCCTTTTGTCAGCTAAGTAGATTGCAAAAATTTTTTCCCATTCTGTTGGTTGCTGATTCACTCTAATGATTGTTTCTTTTGCTGTACAGAAGGTCTGGATTTTAATTAGATCCAATTTGTCTATTTTGGCTTTTGTTGCCAATGCTTTTGTGTTTTAGTCATGAAGTCCTTGCCTGTGCCTATGTCCTGAATGGCTTTGCCTAGGTTTTCTTCTAGGGTTTTTATGGTGTTAGGTCTTACATTTAAGTCTTTAATCCATCTGGAGTTAATTTTACTGTAAGGTGTCAGGAAGGGGTCCGGTTTCTGCTTTCTATGCATGGCTAGCCAGTTTTCCCAATACCATTTATTAAACAGGGAATCCTTTCCCCATTGCTTGTTTCTGTCAGGTTTGTCAAAGATCAGATGGTTGTACATGTGTGGTGTTGCCTTCGAGGCCTCTGTTCTGTTCCATTGGTCTATATCTCTATTTTGGTACCAGTACCATGCTGCTTTGATTACTGTAGCCTTGTAGTATAGTTTGAAGTCTGGTAGTGTGTTGCCTCCCACTTTGTTCTTTTTGCTTAGAATTGACTTGGCTAATGCGGCTGTCTTTTGGTTCCATATGAAGTTTAAGGTGTTTTTTTCCAGTTCTGTGAAGAAGGTCATTGGTAGCTTGATGGGGATAGCGTTGAATCTGTACATTACTTTGGGCATTATGGCCATTTTCACAATATTGATTCTTCCTAACCATGAGCATGGAATGTTTCTCCATCTGTTTGTGTCTTCTCTTATTTCCTTGAGCAGTGGTTTGTAGTTCTTGAAGAGGTCCTTACGTTCCTTGTTAGTTGT